CCCTTCTCCGTCTCCCCGCCCCTCCCCGCTCTCTCCCCTCCCCTCCTCTTTTTCCACACTGGGAAATGAACCCAGAGCCTTTGCACTGAGCGATATCTCCAGCCTTTTTTTGTTTTGTTTTGTTTTTTTAATTTTGAGACAGACGCCGATCGTGGTGGCCCACACCTGTCATCCCAGCACTGGGAAGGATGAGGCAGAAGGATCGCCGTGATTTCGAGGCCAGCCTGGGCCACAGAGCGAGACTCTGTCTCAAAAAACCAATCCCTAAATCGCTATCTTTGCCAGGCTGAGGGTGAACTGTGATCTTTCTGCCTCTGGCACCCAGAGTGCTGGGATTGCAGGGCTGCTCTGCCACAGCAGGTGGGTCGCTCCCAGTCTCATTCTTTTTCTTCTAGTTCTCCCCCCAGCCCCTCTCTTTTTTCTGGTATGGGGGACCAAACTCAGGACTTCGAGATTGCCACTGCCAAGTAGGCACGGCGCCACTGAGCCACACCCCGCCTTTCCTTTTCCATCACCTTCCCTCCTCCTCTCCCTCCTCCATCTGCCCCAGTCCCCCTCTCTCTCCCCTCCCCTGCCCCCTCCTCTCCCTCTTGGTACTGAGGATTGGACCTAGAGTCTTGGCTCTGAGCTACATCCCCAGCCCTTTACAATTTTTTTCTGAAAAATGTTTTTATGGGTACATGTTTGCAGTACATGAAGTAAACCCATTCTAATTCTCTTAACTTCCCTTAGCCCTCCACTTCCTCTCCCTCCCTTCATCTACAGATTCTCTTCCATTTGCAAAAGTTCTATCTCACAATTTCTTATGATCTTTTATTTTGCTCTTCATATTTTGGGCTTCTTGTATAAGAGAAATCATGCAATATTTAGGCTTGTGTGTTTGATTTATTTCACTTAACATTGTAGTCTCTAGGTGCATCCATTTTCCTACAAATGACTCAAGTTTATCCTTCTTTATGACAGAGTAGTACTCCATTGTGTGTATATGCCATGGTCGTACAAGGTGCTTCCAAGATATTGCTAATGTGAGTTGTGCTGCTATAAACATAGGTGTGGGGGCCAGGGATTTGGCTCAGTGGTTTCGTTCCCTGCTGCGCAAGTGCAAGGACCCAAGTTTGATCCCCGGTACTAAAAAAAACCAAAAAAACCCATAGGTGTGAATGTATCATTGTAATATGATGTCTTTTTTTTTTATTTGAGACAAAGTTTTGGTATGTAGTTCAGGCTGGCCTTGACTCACTACATAGTCCAGGCTGGCCTCAAACTCACAGCAATCCTCCTGGCTCAGCCTCCCAAGTGCTGGAATTACAGGCATATGCCACCATGCCCGGCTATGTCTGTCTTTATTTATTTTTTATTATATATTTACTTATTTTTGAGACAGTGTCTCATTATGTAGTTCAGGTTGGTCTTGAACTCACTATGTGGTCCAGGCTGGCCTCTAACTTGTGGTGATCCCCCTGCCTCAGCCTCCCAAGTGCTGGGATTATAGGCAATATGAAGTCTAACTCTTTTGAGAAGGTACCTAGAAGGAGGATAGCTGTGTCATATGGAATTTCTAGTTTTAGTTTTTTGAGTTATCTCCATACTGATTTCCATAGTGGTTGTACTAGTTTTTTATTTTTATCTTTTTATTTTATTTTTTTCCAGTACTGGAGATCTAACTCAGGACCTTGCGCATGCCAGGCAGGCTCGGTGCTACTGAGCTAAATCCCTGGCCCTGGTTGCACTAGTTTATATGCCCTTCAACAATGTATAAAGTCCCCTGCCCCGCAGCCTTGCCAGCATCATCATTATTAGTAGTAGTAGTAGTAGTATAATTATTATTATTTTGTACCCAGGATCAAACTCAGGACCTTGCACTTTTGAGGCAGGTGTGGTGCCACTGAGCTAAATCCCTGGCCCTTTCTTTTGGTTTTTTGAGACAAGGTCTTGCTGTGTAGCCCAGGCTGGCCTTGAACTTGCAGCCTCCTGAGTGCTGGAATTACCATGTACCACTATGCCCGCCGGCTCTAGTTTTTTTGATGATAGCCATTCTTTCTGGTATAAAGATGGAATCCCTGTTATTTTAATTTGCATTTCTCCAGTGGCCAGAGATGTTGTCCATTTAAAAAAATGTATTTATTGTATATCTGAGAAGTGTCTATTCATTTCAGTTGCTCATTTTTTGGTTGGGTCTTTTATTTTTGGGGAGGACTAATATTTTTGAGTTTTTTATGTATCCTAGATATTAGTCTTCTCTAAGGAGTAGTTGGCTAAAATTTTTTTTCCCATTCTGTAAGTTGTCTCTTCACTCTGTTAGTTGTTTCCTTTGCTGTACAGAAGCTTTAAAATTTCATATAATCCCATTTTCTTATTTGGGTTTTTTCTTGTGCAACTGGGGCTCTCTTCAGGAAGTCCTTGCCTACGCTATGTCTTCAAGACTTTTTACCTATCTTATCTTCCAGCAGATTATGTGTTTTTGCTTTAATATTTAGGTCTTTGATCTATCTTAATTTTATTTTAGTGGGTCTAAGTTCAATCTTCTGCACGCGTTTAGCCAGTTTTCCCAGCACCATTTATTAAAGAGGCCATCTTTCCTCCAGTGTATGTTTTTGGCCTCTTAATCAAAGATCAGATGGCTGAATGTGGCTGGGGTTGTTTCTGCATCTTCTATTTTGGTTTTTTTTTGGTACCAGGGATCGAACTCAGGACCTTGTGTTTGGGAGGCAGGCGGCGGAACCACTGAGCTAAATCCCCGACCCTGCACCTTTTATTTTGATCTAGCAATCCATATGTCTGGTTTTGTGCCAGTACCATGGTGTTTCTTTTGTACTATTTATGTTATTTTTTTCATTTTTATTTCGAGACAAGGTCTTTTAAAAAACTTTTATTTTATTTTATACCATTTCCCCCCTCAAGTTCCCTCCCCTCCCTATGTACAAAAGCTTTGTTTCCATTTTTCCTTCTATTTTCACTTTTTTCTTGTTCCTTCCTTCCTTTCTCCCTCCCTCCTTGTTTCTTTTTTATCTTTTTTTTTTTTTTGGTACCAGGGATGGAACTCCAGTCCTTGAGCTTGCGCAGCAGGCGCCGAAACCACTGAGCTAAATCCTCTGGCCCCCTTGTTTATTTTTAAAGTCACTGTAGTTTTGTAATCTAATTTGAAATCTGAGATTATGTTGCCTCCTGCTTTGCTCTTGTTACCCAGGATTGCTTTTGCTGTTTTTTGTTTTGTTTTGTTTTTAAATTTTGTGAAACAGGGTCTCACTATGTAGTTCATCCTGGCCTTGAACTCACTATGTAGCCCAGGCCAGCTGGCCTTGAACTCACAGCAATCCTCCTGCCTCAGCCTCTTGAGTGCTGGGATTATAGATGTGTGCCACCCCACCTGAACTCTTTGGGGATTTTATCATGAGTGGATGTTGGATTTTGTCAAAGGCTTTTTCTGTATCTCTTGAGATAATGTTGTGATTTTTGCTCTTGCTTCTGTTCATGTGGCGTATTACGTGTATTGATTTTCATGTGTTGGACCTTCCTTGCATTCCTGGGATGAAGCCTGCTTGGTGATGATGTATGACCTTTTTGATGATTTATTGCATTTTGTTTGCCCGTATCTTGTTGAGGATTTTTGCATCTATGTTCATTAGAGATTGGCCTTAGTTTTCTGTTTCAGTTGAGTCCTAATCTGGTTTTCACATCCCCAGAATTTTAAAAATTTCTTTTCCTGGCTGGGGATTTAGCTCAGTGGTTCCGCCGCCTGCCTCACAAGTGCAAGGACCTGAGTTCAAGCCCTGGTACCAAAAAAAAAAAAAAATTCTTTTCCTTCTATTTTCTCTTTTTTTCCCTTGTTCCTTCTTTCCTGTCTCCCTCCCTCCTTGTTCCCTTTCCTGGTTGAACATTTTCTGTCCATTTCCCAGTATCTATTATACATTTTAGTTCTTATTTCCACTTCTGGTTTCTCATACCAGAGAAACAATGTAGCATTTAAACATATGTGTCTGATTTATTTAACTTAAGAGTATGGTCTCAAGGTCCATCTTTTTAGCTATAAATGTCTCAAGCTCATCCTTCTTTATGGCAGAGTAGTACTCCATTGTATAACAAAAAACACCTCTTCTTTATCCACTTGGTTGACAGGCATTTGGGATGTTTCCAAGATTTAGCTATTATACACTGTGCTGCTCTAAACATGGGTGTGCATGTATTGCTGAGGTACGATGCTTTTAATTCTTCTGGGAAGATACCAAGAAGGAGAATAGCTGGGTCGAATGGAACCTCTAGTTTTAGTTTTTGAGAAATCTCCACACTGATTTCCACAGTGGTTGCACCAGTCTACACTCCCACCAGCAGTGGAGCAGGGTTCCTTTTTCCCCATAGCCCCACCAGCATTTGTTATTGGTTGATTTCTTGATAAAAGCTATTCTTTTGGGGGGATTGTTTCAATTTGCATCCCTCAAATGACTAGTGATGTTGAACATTTTTTCATATATTTATTTGCTGTTTCTACTTCTTCACCTGAGCAGTGTTTATTCATTTCAGATGTCAGTTTTTGGATTGGGTCTTTAAATTTGAGGAGCCTGATTTTTTGGGGGGGCGGGAGGCCTGATTTGTTTGAGTTCTTTATATATTCTAGATAGTAGTCCTTTGATGAATAGCTGGTAAAACAATTTTTTCCCACACAGCACTTTAAAAAAAATTTTTTTTGAGGTAGGGTCTTGCTAAGTTACTGAATTGTTTGGGCTCAGTGTAAATTTGCAACCCTCCTGCTTCAGCCTCTCAGAGTGCCGGGGTTACAGGCCTGCCCACACCGCCTGGCTTCTTCCCCGTGTTCTGAAACCTTCATACCCTCCCTTGTGCTCTCCTCCGCACAGCAGCCCTCCTTTCCCATTTCCTGCTCCCTACCCCACCCTCTCCTCCTTGACCTGTTTCCTTTCTTCTAAGAGTTTTCTTTGCCCCTGGACCCTACTCCCTCCGTTTTTCCAGTCCTTCCTCCTGCACTTTCTCCCTTCCTGCCTCCCCTCCCCCACTCCCTGCCTGGTCTCCCCGAGCCCCTCTTTCCCCTCCCCTCCCCTCTCCAGTGCTCTCCATTCAGTACTCCCTCTCCCCACCCCTCATTTCCCTATGGAGGAGCCCCCGACCTCCATCCCTGGGGACTGAACCCAGGGCCTCAACACTGAGCCTTGGTTATATTATTTTATTTATTTATTTATTTTTGGTCCCGGAGATTGAACTTGGGACCTTGTGCTTGTGAGGCAGGTGCCGGAACCACTGAGCCAAATCCCTGGCCCTCGCTTTTATTTTTTATTTGGGGACACAGTCTTACGAAGTTGCCCAGGCTGGGCTTGAACTTTAGATCCTCCTGCCTCAGCCTCCTAAAGCGCCCTCCTTTTCGGTGACCTTGTGATGTTCTACCTTCTAGAGCCCAGATGTTGCCCATCACCTCTTATTCCCTGCTGTCCCTTCCCTTCCTGATGGCTTCCTCCTCCCCTGCTGTCCTCTTTTCCCACTTAATGTGTCTCCTCTGCTTCCGCTGAGAGCCAGGCCACCCCAGGCACGCTCAGGTCTGCAGTGCTCCTCTCCTCCTCAGCAACTCCTTTCTTCTCTCCCTCCCGCAGTGACCCTGGGAAATGGGACCCTGAGCTGGTACAGCCATCAAGGGATAGCAGGTGTGCACCTGTCCCCGGGCCTGACCTACGATGAACACAGGCAGGAGCTGGTGGTGGCGAAGGCTGGACACTATCAAGTCTGTTTACACCTGGAACTGAGCCACGTGTTGCCGACCTCCAGGGACTCCGGCAAGGTCTCTCTGGCCCTACACCTGGAGCCGCCACAAGCTGAGGCCACCGCCCACCCTCTGGCCGTGGACCTTTCGCCCTACTCCTCACTCCCAGTCCAGGGTTCCCGCTGCCAGCCGCTGCAGATGGCCGACCTTCAGCGACTCAGTGTCCACCTCAGCGTCTACCTGCCCACCGGGGGCAGCAAGCACCAGGCCTGGCAGCTGGCCCAGCCCGCCACCCAACCCGCCACCAAGTTAGAACTCTTTCGACTGAGTGCCGACGTCCCAGACAGACGCCTGTCCACGTGATGCCTGGTGTGGGTGCTCCCCACTTGCTGTCCTTCCTTTCTTGAAGCCCCTCGGCTGCGACCTCACGGGCTGGGCAGGGGCCCCTGTGCTGACCGCCCCTTTTCCAGGACTCTCCCCACTACCACGTATTTATTCTGAGCCTGAGCTCAGAAAGTGTTCTTTATATTGATATATTGTATTGCCCTTCTATTTATTGACCCCTTGCTGTGTTCCAGTCCGGTGCTAGAGAATCACTGAAAAAACTAGACCCCAAATAAACATTTTTATTTATGTTAATGTATGAGGAACATACCCCCTGACCCCCTGTGTGAAGCTGTGTCTTGGGAGAAGTGTGCATCTGGCAAGTGAACATCCTTCATCTGAGAGTTAGTCATTCTTGCAGTTCACTGAGGACTTACTGATGATGGGCCAAGGTTTCTTTTTTCTTCTTCTTTTTTTCTCTTTTGCAGTGCTAGCCTGGAACCCAGGGCCTCATACATGTTAGGCAAGTGCTATGCCACTGAGCTACACCTCCAGGAAATTCTTGTTTTTAATTTTGAGACAAGGTGTTGTTAAGTCACTAAATTGCCCCAGCTGGGCTCGAACTTTTGACCCTGGCACCTCAGCCTCCCACAGTGCTGGGATGACAGGTGTGCGCCACTGTGCCTGGCTTTTATAGATTTTTTTTTCTTTTTCTGTTTTGGTACTGGAGATTGAACCCAGAACCTTGCACTTGAGAGGCAGGCAGAGGAACTACTGAGGTAAGTCCCCAGCCCTGTTTTTAAATTTTTTTCCTTAAATTCTTTTATTGGTACATTTTAGGTATATAATACATTTACATTTATCATTGGGAACTTGTACCTTTACATGATGTATCTTGGTTCTTATAATTTTTTTTTTTAACAACTGAACTTTTTTTTTTTTTGGTATCTGGAATCGAACTCAGGTCCTTGTGCTTGCGCAGCAGGAGGCGAAACCACTGAGCTAAATCCCCAGCCCCTTGCACTTACTTTTGGTACTGGGGATCAAACTCAGGACCTTCTGCTTTAGAGGCAGGTGGCGGAACCACTGAGCTAAATCCCCAGCCCTTGTGCCTGGTTTTTTAGCAGTTCTTTTTTTATTTTTTTAATAGTTTTGTTTTTGTTTTTGTTTTTTTTGTACTGGGGATCCAACTGGGGTCCTTGTGCTTGTGCAGCAGGCAGCAGAACCACTGAGCTAAATCCCCAGCCCTTAGCAGTTCTTTATGCACTCCTTAATCCAGTCATGTTGGTACCTAAAATTAATCGCGACAATATCAGATAATAAAATTTGTTGAGCTGGGTGCGGTGACACATGCCTATAAACCCAGCTACTCTGGAGGTTGACCGAAAGTCCCAGGCCAGCCTTGACAATGTAGTGAGACCCTGTCTCAAAATTAAAAAGGGCCAAGGATGTAGCTCAGTGGTTAAGCACTTGCCTGGCATGTGCAAGACCCTACCCCCCAGATTTGTTGAGCATGTACTATATGTCACCATGAGTTATTTCACTTGACAACCATGACCTTCCATTGTGGAGAGTTTATGACTTGTATTTTACCATTTCCCATGAAGGTACTTGAGGTTATTTACTTTAGTTGAGTTTCTATGTTGTAAATACTGTATAACAGTTCTGGGTCAGGGGACATCACGCTGGTATTTTGGAATTAGTGATGCTAAGACAATTTACAGGAATGGGATCAGGGCTAGGATTGGGGCTTGATTTACTCTGTTGATGTACCCCTTGTTGATTTACACAAACAGTGGAGGAAATGTGAATGTTAAACCTGATGATCCTTTGAGTGATGGAGACATTGTACATAGCATAGAAAATTGAGGAGGCCTTTGTTGAGCATTATCACCCTGTTAGGGGATCAAACTCGGGACCTTGCACTTGCAAGGCAGGTGGTGGAACCACTGAGCTAAATCCCTGGAAATGACTATCTTTTTTGTAGGGGAGATACAGGGTTGTTATGGTTTAGACCAAAAATGTCCCCCCAAAATCTTCTGAGGGTTTTTTTTTTCCATTTAAAAAAATTAATTTTATTAGTACATTTTAGATATTCATGAGGGGCTTTGGAGCCAGCTGACCATGGACTGAGCCTTCTGAAACTATGAGCCAAAATGCACCTCTCTTCCCTTAAGGTACAGTATTGGGTGCTTTTTTCCCACCAGTAGTAATGTGACTAAAACGTGGGGATTGAACTCAGGGCCTTCACACTGAACTATGTCTTCAGCCCTTTTTATTGTTTGAAATAGGTTCTCCTTAAGACCCTAAATTCCCCATGTTGAGCTTGAACTCTCACTCCTGACTCAGCTTCCCGGAGGTTGGGATCACTGGCATGCATCACCATACCTGGGTTTATGAAGACTATTTTATATTATTGCAGATAATCCCTAATTTACAATGGTTCAATTTAGAATCTTTCTACCTCACAATGGTGTGAAAAAGCACACTCCTGCAACTGCAGGGCTTTCCATTTTCAGTATAGGGTTTGATAAATTACACAAGATTGTCAACACTTTATTATAAAGTAGGCTTTGCATTAGGTGGCTTTGACCATTTGTGGGCTTGTGGATGTGCTCTGAGTACATTTAAATTAGGCTAAACCAAGCTATGATGTTCAGTAGATTAGTATATACCATGCATTTTTAATTAAAATATTTTCAACATACGAGATATGCTCAAAAATATATGTTGAGGGCAACACACTCAGGGACCCCTCTTGTCTCTCAGGAGCTATTCCCATTCCCCAATAAACCTTTCCTACTTTAACCTCCTTTGTCCTTTGGAATTCATTCTTCTGTTTCAGGGGACATGAACTCTGCACATCTGATGTCTAGCAAGGTCTCACTATGTAGCCTAGGCTGGCCTCAAACTCATGGCAATCCTCCTGCCTCAGCCTCGGGAGTGCTGGGATGGTGGGCGAACATCACGATGGAGAGCAACTATTATCAACTCTCACCTTGAAGGGATGTAGTGCAACTCGAGACTCCAGATACCCAGCTGCAAACAGCCACCATCTGTAGCCTGGACTACAGAGTGAGAGCTTGTCTCAAAAAAACCAAACCAGGGCTGGGGATTTAGCTCAGTGGTTCTGCCGCCTGCCTTGCAAGCGCAAGGACCAGAGTTCGATCCCCGGCACCAAAAAAAAAACAAAAAACAAAAAAACCAAAACAAAACACAAAAAAGATAAAAATGTACAAGTCTTGCTATATTGCCCAGGCTGGCCTTGAACCCATGATCCTCCTGCTTCAGCCTCCTAAGTGCTGGGGTTACAGGTGTGTGTCACCACAATGGGGAGTCTTGTCTATTCCCCCAGCCTCAGAGATTCTGGGAACTAAGCTGAAACCCGGAGGCAGGAAGTGTTCCCATGACAGGAAGCCACCAGGAAGCCTTTGCCCACTCCCAGGAGAGGGTTCGGGGAGGGCCCAGGAACTGCAGCCACTGCCAGTTATTGGAGCAGCCAGGTCAGCAGGAGGTCCTCAGACTGCCCCCTTGTATAATGATAATAGATACCTTTGAAATAAAACAAAAATATATAGTGAATGTTTAAATTTAAAAGATACATTACAGTAAAATACAGATTCTCATTAGTCTCCTCAAAATCCTCCCCCTAACTTTGAACACACTTATCTCATTGTTCTTGCCATTTTCTGCAGCAGTTCTGGAAGTCCTCTTTTGTGAGTCTTTAGTTGTTATCACTGCTGCCTCAAAGAGCTGAATTGATTCAAAACATCTCCCTCTTTCTTTCTTCCTTTTCCTTTCCTTCCTTCCTTCCTGCTTTGTTTTGCTTTTTTCTTTTTTGATTTTTTTTGTGTTTGAGACAGGGTTTTGCTATGTAGTTCAGACTATCCTTGATCTCATTATATTTCCAGGTTGGTCTCAAACTTGAGGTGATTCTCCTACCTCAGCCTCTGGGGTGCTGGAATTACAGGTGTGTGCCACCACGTTCAGCTTCAAAACATTTACTTTGGGGCCAGGGATTTAGCTCAGTGTTTCCAGCACCTGCCTTGCAAGCACAAGGTCCAGAGTTTGATCCTCAGTACCAAAAAAAACCCCATTTACTTTTCATGGTTATTTTGACTTTAGAGAAGAGCCAGAAGTTGCATGGTGCCAGATCTCCAGATCTGTTTAATAAGGTGGTAACTTTTGTGAGTCTGCCTTTCTGTTACATGACACTCAGCAGCAGCATTCACTGTATTTTTGATCACACCTTATAAAGACCCTCATGAAAAAGCACTTCCAGAACTGCTTGAGAAAGTGGCAAGAACAATGGGATAAGTGTGCTCAAAGCAAGGGGAAGGATTTTCAGAAGGATTAGTGACAATGTATCTTTCATTGTAATTAATTTTAAAAATTTAAACATTCATCACACAGTTTGATCACACCTTGTACAAAGGGTTCCATGGGAAGTGTATTCGTCACCTTTCTGCAAGTAGGTGATGTACAACTTAAGAAAGAGAAGTTTATTTTCGTGCATGGTTTCAGAGGTCTCAGTCCATGGTCTTCTGTCTCCAAGGCTATAAGAAGACAAGAGCAAGGGAAGAGCCGGACCGGAAGGGACCAAGGATACGCTAGAGTCCCCATGGTCAGGCCCTGATGACACATAAGACACTCACAGGTGCACTGTGCTCCTCCCCTGGGACCTCAAGGCAATCACCATTGCTCATCACAGGAAGTAACCTCATCTGTTTTGGAATTCTCTGGAGGGTAATCCATGTTACATGTATCACATCTTCCCTCTCTCTCTCGGGGAAGCTGAGCTGGCTGTGGAGATGGAGGAGTGGACATGAGAGAGATCTATATGATAAAACGGACAGAGTGGGTGATGTTTGGAATACAGGTAGCATGAACGGGGTGGTGGAGTCTAATCTTTCAAGTGTGACAGGACAGATGGTGGAGACGTTTATAAATTTGGGGGTGCAGAGCTGGGGTTGGTGGTACATGCTTGTCATCCCAGCACTCTGGGAGTCTGAGGCAGGAAGTATGTTATGTGCTTGTACGAATCTGCCATCGTGAAACTGCGAATCTATAGAACCAAGAAAGAAAGGGCCAGGGATGTAGCTCAGTGGTGCCGCGCCTAACTGGCAAGCAGGTCCTGAGTTTGATCCCTGGTACGGGGAGGGGCTGGGGGGAGATTCTTCTATAGAACCAATAAAAAAGAGTGGAAAAAAATGAAGCAGAAAAAAGGCAGCTCAGATTTCTCCTGGGGATGGTGAAGGTCACAGGTCTGGAAGCCACAGAGTGTCCCCAGGAGACTCCGGGGTGACTGTCCCATTCACTAATGGAATCCT